ACTCTCATAATGAAGGATATTTTGTTGTACTGTTCAATAGCATGGAAGAAAATGAGGTGTTTTACTCAGGGCCACATACTATGGGAACAAAGTCGATAACACAAAAATCATGGTCATCTGATTTTAATTTGTATAATGAAGTCCTAAAGACTATACCATTTTGGGCCAGCTTCCCTAACTTGCCTCTGACTGTTGGGGAATAATGACTCTTAGTCGAATTGCAAGTGGATTAGGGTGCCTTATATATACCGACGAATGCACAACTAATACAGAAAGGATCTTTAATGCTAGAGTCCTTATTGAAATGGATATCACAAAAGAGCTACCAAAGAGCATCACTTTACAAGACCCTTCAGGGAAGGAATTTGAACAGACGGTGGTGTATGACTGGCTGCCACAATATTGCAAGAAGTGCCTTATGGTTGGGCATGATTGTGATGTAGAGCAAGGCATAGTTGGGGCATATAGCAAAGTTTATAAGGTAAAACAGCAACAACAGAGGGCAGAACTATCAAAACAGGAGGGCAAAAGTCAAAATACAGGTACAAGTATGCATTAGACAAGGAACAAAAAGCCAGTAGTTGAATGGGCTGCAATAGGAGCAATTAAACAAGCTGGAAAGGACACAGGAAAGCAGACAACTCAAGTGTAGCAGAGTGAATCACATGTATCAGATGGTAATCAGCAAGCCTGGCAAAAAGCAAAAGGAAGAGGAGGACAAGCAAGCCCAGCTCAATAGATTATCACCACTACTAATGGATTATCTCCTTTAAGAGTGGAAGTACATGAGGAAGCACAAGATAGGTTGATGATGATGATCCTCAAAATAGCACAGGATCATATGTAGGAAGAGTTCCACCCCATCCAACTCTACATGAAGATAGCTACATGGAATGTGAGGGGCTTCAATAAGGTATATAAGCAAAAGGAGGTGAAATTGTTTTTGAAAAGATGATCACAAGCAGGTTGCAACCAGTGATGGACTCCTTAATAGACATGAGTCAAGCATCATTTGTACCAGGCAGAGTCTTGAATGATAATTTACTACTGGGGCATGAACTTGTAAAAGGATATGGAAGAAAAGGTATCTCACCTAGGTATATGGTTAAGATTGATATGCTGAAAACCTATGATTCTTTAGAGTGGGGTTTTTCTTGAACAGGTGCTCACAGAACTGAGCATCCCAAAGAAATTTATTTTGTGGATCATTACATGTGTCACTACAGTGTACTATTCTATTGTTATAAATAGAAAGCCAACGGCTTCTTTCGATGCCAAAAGAGGAGTAAGATAAGGGGATCCACTGTCGCCTTATCTTTTTATTCTGGCCATAGAATACTTGACCAGAATCTTAAAAACTCTGAAAGACAGACCTAATTTTAACTATTATCCCCGATGTGAGAAGTTGAACATAGTGCAACTCAGTTTTGTAGATGATTTATTGTTGTTTTATATAGGTGATGTGGTGTCCATTCAACTGCTCTATGAGTGTTTTCAACAATTTTCCAGCTCCTCAGGATTGATTGCAAACCAAGAAAGAGTTGTATCTACTTTGGAGGGGCACCAGTGGAAGTCCAACATCAGATTAATCAATGCCTAGGCTTCTCCACAGGCATACTACCATTCAGATACTTGGGGGTTCCATTAAGAACCAAAAAATTATTTGTAGCCCAGTGTCAGCCCCTACTAGATAAGATGCTCAGCAGAGTTAAGCATTGGATAGCAAAATTTATATCATCTGCAGGAAGCTTACAATTGATCAAAAGTGTTATGATTGCTATTCAATACTTTTGGTCGCAAATCTTCCCTCTACCAAAGAAGATTATTCTAAAGATTAAAACAATTTGCAAGAGGTTTCTCTGGACAAGTGAAGCAGAAGGTAGCAGCAAAGCTTCAGCGACCTGGAAACAATTGTGCTGGCCAAAATCTGCAAGTGGACTAAACATAACTGACATTCTCACGTGGAACAGAGCTGCAATCCTTAAACAACTGTGGAATTTGTGTAAGAAGAAGGATCGCTTATGGATATAGGGGATGCATACATACTATATAAAACAGCATGTGATATGGAGTGTAAACGTGACACGAGCTACTTGGATCACTCGAAAAAATTTAGGAGCTACAAAATATTTGAATGAAGAAAATATAGGAGTGGAGGAGGTGATGAATGCACGGAGCTACTCCATTGAAGACATGTATAATAAGCTTAGAGGAGAGTTCCCTAAAGTTGAATGGAAGAGACTAATATGTAATAACACCAACAGTCATAAATGGATCTTCATATTTTATCTGGAAATCCTGGGCAGACTATATACACGAGACAGGCTTATCACTTGGGGAATATTAGTCAATCTATCATGTTCGTTGTGTGAAGGAGGTACAGAGGATCACGATTATATCTTCTTCAGATGCACCTACTCTGCAACGGTTTGGAGGAAACTATTGTACTGGCTTGGTATCAAAAGAGATGTGACTGGGTGGAATGAAGAGATAAAATGGGCTACAAAGCATGCTACAGTTAAACAGCCATCAGCAGTAATATATAGAATGCTTCTAACTTGTACTGTGTACTATATATGACAAGAAAGGAATTGGCGAACTTTTCGCAGGCAGCAGAGGAGAAGTGAGGAGCTGGACAAAACGATAATCCAAGAGGTCCATTGTCGAGGAAACTTGAGTCTTAGTCTAGCTAAAAGATTTCAAGAGTTAAACTTTTACCCTTAGCTTGTCTATACTTGGAACGTGTGTTACTTAGTTTTGATGATCCTAAGTTTGGGGTTGCATGTCCAAACATAGGAGGATAGTTGATAGGGTTTTGTTATACTTGTAAATATTTCCCTGGTAATAAAAAATTAATTACCAAAAAAAAATTATGCACAGAATTAGAAAAACAACTAAAGATGATAACTCGAAGTAATGGTAATATAATTAATAAACTTCAAATTCATGACAACCACAACCCTAGAACGCGAAGTTTAGCTCCACATAGGTGTGGTAGCGAAATAACAAATCATCAAGAAAAAATAAAGATTACTAAGTTTGATGGAAGAAAGATGGAATATGATAAACTCCGGCCTCCACGGCAGCTCCGTGCTCTCCCTAGGTCCAATCTCAGGTCTCCTCTAAAAAATGGCGTTTAATGACTATTTATATGTGTAGGGAAAAGACCTAAACAAAATACCCAAGTCCAAATCCAAATAGGAGACAATAGGCTTTAAAAATCCGGAACACGTTCGCTACAGACCGTGCGTCGCGACCTCTATAGCGCGCTCCACCTCGCTGCAGCCTGTGCCTCGCAAGCTTTGTAGCGAGCTCCTCCTCGCGGTAAGCCTCGCGGCGTACTGCCAAACGCGAGCTAAATCTCTCGCATCGCATGCTCTCTAGCGAATCTCGCGTTTTCAATTCCATAGAGCTGCTTCGTTTTCAATTCTGTCGCCTAACATTACTTCAACTGTTTATTTGCCTAAATTTGCTTTAATTGTCATTTCTTTGTTCATTCTCGTTCTTGTCTTCCTTTCTTTTTCCTTTGCAAGTGTTTCTTTCTTTTGTCTTCTTCTTTGCTCAACTATAATATTGTTTTATAGTGTGGATTACACATTCAATATTTACTTTGCTTCAATTTCATTTTTAATACACCTACACATCAAATAAACTCAATTAAGTATAAATATAGTATAATTTAACATTAAAGCACCTAAATATGAGATAAGTAATGCACTAAAAATATATAATTATATCCAAACATCATACATCGGATTGTATATGTTGTATTTGTTTATGACTTTTTGATCTGCCTTGGTATTTTGAGATAAATTTATATTACTTGTTGTTCTAGGCTCTCTGGTAGTTGGATTCGAGTTCGTTTTTATGAGTTAACTGCTTTATTTTCATTTTCCTATCTTTCTTATTATTATTATTATTATTATTGTGTACCGGTGTTGTAAGTGACCCCCTAGCCTCGTCACTACTTCGTCGAGGTTAGGCTCGGTACTTATAAAATACATGGGATCAGTTGTACTCATACTATACTCTGCACTTTCTGTGTTGATACCGGAGTGGATCCTAGCAGCGTTGAGTGAGATTGTCCAGATCCAACTTTCTGTGGAGACTTGAGGTACTCCGCAGCCCTGAAGTCCCCTTCTTTGTTATCTTAGCTGTTTATTTTGATTTAGACAGTTATGTTTTATTTAGACTATTATATGTAGTACTCTAGACGCTCATGTATTCGTGATACCGGTTTCTGAGATTGTATTTGGATTTACGTCGGTTATTAGTTTATTACTCTATTTCAGACTATTCGATTTTATTGTTGTCATTTGATTTGAATTGTAAAAAATGGTTAATAAATATAGCTAACGTTGGCTTTCCCAGCAAGTGAAATATTAGGCATCATCACAGAAGACCCCAAGATTTCCATCATTTTTATTAGGCTTTATTACCCTTTAATATTCTTTATTGCCTTTTTACTACCTTTTATTGTAGCATTAGTATTAGTAGTCAATTGGTAGATCATAGTTCTATTATAAATAGAGGTTTTTATTCTATTGTAAGGCATCAAGAAATACTGATAGCAAAAGACTGGTATTTTTCTCTTTCAAGCTTTACACAAGTGTTACCGAGATTTTCAAATTATTCTTGATTCCGGTGGGAAAATTCTGAAGTACATGCTTGTCTTTTCTTCAATTCTTTTTATTCTAATTGCTTTGTTCTTTATTACTTTATTTTATCGGATCAATTTGATCCATGTGTTTATAAACCACAATACAAATTTAGTTGTACCATTTTTACGATAAACAATAGGAGTGGTGGTTAATTACCAAGAAGAACTACTAAAAAATTATCCAAGGAGATGTTGACACCAACTTTGCAAAACTACGTTTTTGGGCCATGCACGTGGAAGCAGAGTGGTTTTTTTACTCCACTTTTTCTTTTCCAGAACCTCAAACGAAAAATAAGAGATTTTTGGTGTTCTCTTTCTGGCTGACAAATAGGGNGGATAGTCCATTGAGCAACATCCGTTGGTTTATGCTCCCTATTTATAGTCCTCATTTCCAGATTTCCCTCACCTCTGTGCCATCCATATCTTCCTAACCAAAACTTCACACACAAACAAATATACACATAAATATGGGCTCTTTTCCTCATGTAATAGAAGACTGTTTAGGTATCCTTCAACTTTATAGTGATGGCTCCATTTTCCGATCAAGTGACGACCAAATTGACTTCAAATTTACTGTCCAAGACGATGGCTCTGTCGTTTGGAAAGATTGCCTTTACGACGAAAAAAACAATCTCTATCTCCGTCTTTACAAACCTAAATTAGCAAACAAGCTCAAAATAGTCTACTTTTTTCATGGTGGAGGTTTCTGTGTAGGTTCACGTACGTGGCCTAATTGTCATAACTGTTGCCTCCGTCTTTCCTCTGACCTACAAGCGCTTGTCATCGCTCCCGACTATAGACTGGCGCCCGAGTTTTGTCTGCCCGCTGCCATGGACGACGCTTTTACGTCCATGAAGTGGCTGCAGAATCAGGCGTTGTCAAAAACGCCTGATTCTTGGATGAAGGATATAATGATTGATCAGGTTTTTGTAATTGGAGACTCATCTGGTGGGAACATGGCGCACCATTTGTCCCTGAGGCTCTGGGTTGGCTCGCCCGAGCTGGCGCCGGTTAGAGTACGGGGTTATGTTCTCATGGCGCCATTTTTCGGGGGAAGTTTGAGGACTAAGTCTGAAGCTGAGGGACCTGCTGAACCTTTCTTGAATGTGGAAATTCTTGACAGGTATTCAACTCTTTTTTATATTTAATTTTTGTCTTTTCTCCTTTTTCTATTCTTTTCTTTTTTTGTTTTTTGCATGGTCATGACTCATGAGGGCCAAGAAAAACTTTTAAGATATTTTGACTAGTTAATTACTAGGAATTGTACTATTCTAACCATCATCGTCGTTATCATGGAATCAATGGCCACTAAGAGTAAGATACCAATATGGTCAAAGAATTGAATGATGTTCAGCGTAGCATGGACTTTGCATCCCGAATGGAACGTTCCACTTAGTTGTTTTAATTTGTCAATTTTGCTGATTTCACTCTTTATTATTCCCTTTATTTCATCTTATATTAGACTGAAATAGAGTTTAAGAGGAAAAAAAGTATAACTTTAAAGTTATATCATTAAGAGTAAAACAAAAAAATTAATATTAAATAGCATAAATATAAAAATTATCATTCTTTTTAGAAAAGAAAGAGTCACATCAAATAAAACGAAATAGGTAATACCTTTTTATTTTATAAATAGGTGTGTGTGTGTATATA